TATTCCTGCTGGAAGCAAATTGTAGACTTAGGGGTAGACCAGAAGCAGTTATTTATCATCATATATCTCATGAAAACCCTCACCCCCTACTCCAATTACGTTTCTCTTTCCAGATGGGCTTTCCTTCTAAAACAGACAGCCCTAGTTGTGAATACTCTCGATTTGATTTTGATAGCGACGAGGACTTCAATGCTTTCTTCAACTGTGAGTGAATTGGCCTGGAATTTCTTCCAGTCTCAGAATGGCATCTAGTGTTATGAGTCATGGGGCATGACCCTTGAGGTTCTGTGTTAAAGAGCCCCAAGTCTGGACAGCAGCCTGTTTAATCTCCATTTGCACTTTGCAGAGAGTGCTGGGATTGTACTTATTCCACGCATTGTTTTATCTCTTACACACACACCCCCACAAACATATACACACATACACTGCCTTTGGACATTGAAGTTTAGAGATAGTAACTTAAGGTAAGGCACTCTCATTTTTTTTAATATTTATATATTAGAATTAAATACCATCTTACATTGTGGGTCTTTTTTCTAAAAACGAGAGGAAAACCCCACGATTCCTAATTCTGTTCTGGGTTTTCTGTAACTTGGTTCCCCCCCCCCTTTTTAATAACAACTTTATTGATGTAATTTATTTGTCATACAGTTCATTCATTTATAGTATACAGTGGGGTTTTTTTGTATTTTCAGAGTTGTACAATCACAACCACAGTCAGTGTTAGGATATTTTCATGACCCCAAGAAACCCCGTGACCCTTAGCAGTCATCTCCCAATCCCCTTATCCCTCTCAGTGCTGGAAAAGCACCAATCTACTTTCTATTTCTATCTTTCACCTCTTCTGAACATTTCATATAAATGGAATCATAGAGTGTGTTGTCTTTGGTAACTGCCTTCTTTTTCTTAGTGTAGCGTTTTAGAAATTCGTCCGTGTTGTAGTATGTATCAGTACTTCATTTCCTTTTATTGCCAGTGATACGTCATTGTATGGATATACCACATTCTATTCATCCATCGATAAGTTGATAAATACTTGAGTTGTTTCCACATCTTGACTATTAAGAATAATGCTATTATAACATTTGGGTACAAGTTTTTTTGTTATTTTTTAAAAATAAGTTTATTTATTTACTTATTTATTTTGGCTGTGTTGGGTCTTTGTTTCTGTGCACGGGCTTTCTCCAGTTGTGGCGAGCGGGGGCTACTCTTCATTGTGGTGTGCGGGCTTCTCATTGTGGTGGCTTCTTTTGTTGTGGAGCGCAGGCTTCGGTAGTTATGGCTCGCGGGCTGTAGAGTGCAGGCTCAGTAGTTGTGGTGCACAGGCTTAGCTGCTCCGCAGCATGTGGGATCTTCCCAGACCAGGGCTCGAACCCATGTCCCCTGCATTGGCAGGTGGATTCTTAACCACTGCGCTACCAGGGAAATCCCCCTGGGTAGAAGTTTTTGTGTTTTTTTTTTTGCGGTACGCGGCCTCTCACTGTTGTTACCTCTCCCGTTGCGGAGCACAGGCTCCAGATGCGCAGGCTCAGCGGCCATGGCTCACGGGCCCAGCTGCTCCGCGGCATGTGGGATCTTCCCAGACCGGGGCACGAACCCATGTCCCCTGCATCAGCAGGCGGACTCTCAACCACTGCACCACCAGGGAAGCCCGGTACAAGTTTTTGAGTGGACATATGTTTTTATTTTTCTTGGGCATATGCTAGGAAGAGAATTACCAGATCATATGGTAATTCCATGTTTAATGTTTTGAGGAACTGCCAGACCATTTTCTTCAGCAGCCATACCATTTTACATCTGTACCAACCTGATCTCCTTTTAATTCCAACAGAAAGGGGAGACCACTTTTGGTTTGCCGCTTATAGCATCTAGCTGGTATGGTGGCTTCTTAGAATTTAGTTTTGAAAATTGCTAGATTTGTTAACAAAGCTTTACTGAACATTTGTTAGATTCAGAGCATAAGTCTGCAAAACAAAATCTCTTGAATGTTTTCCTCCTGGGATGGATAAATGAATAAACATTAACTAAGTATCTGTTATATGCAGTTATTGATTCATGTCTTTCTCTTGGCAGCCTCTCGGGCCCAACAAGGAGAAGTAATGAGGTTAGCATGTCGCTTGGATCCCAAGACTAGCTTCCAGATGGCTGGGGAGTGGCTAAAGTATCAGCTCTCAACTTCTGTTGATACTGGATCCATGAACTGTAAGACTTTTTGTTTTTTTTCTGCCTGAACATTACTGAAGTATTTCTATGTATCAAAACTGTACATAGAAATAAACCTCTGAGCCACATTTCAAAACAGTTTGCTAATAGTGTCCAAAAAAAGCTTTGCTCACTGCCCACTTCCATCCTAGAGAGTGAGCCTTTTCATTTGCACATACAGGCAGAGAAAGCAAATATAATACCAGATTTTAACTCTGTTTAAATTAGGGTAAAACCATGACCCTATCGGTTTTGCCTTCATTTTTCTTTTCTAACAGAGTCACCAGTTGTTTATTGTTGATTTTATTACTTCACCTCAGGCAGCATCTAACAAACATGTCTAGGCCTAACTTTTTAAAGCTTTTCAACCAAGTTCTTTCATGGCATTTCTCTTAAACTCGGAAAAAATGACTTGTTAGTCAGGCACAACAAGCAGTGCAGGGGTTTCCCGTATCACTCAGCCCCCCTCAAAGCCTTTGGGAAATGCCACTTTATTTAAAATCAAAATAACCCCCCTCTACCCAAAAGCATAAGCTAGGTAACTTCTCTGTGCTCTGTATCTTCTGTCTGTCATCTTATTAATGCAGGCAGTGGGTGAGAGGATTGTAAGGAAAGGGTGTAAGTCACTGCTTTGGAAAAACTCCACACTATGGTCAGTTACCAAGCACACTAGTTACTTGACATTCATGGGATTTAACATTGAGTCTTATGTGTTCACAGTTGACTGTAAAGGTCCCTGGTATCTAGTAACTTGAACGTTTGCAGAGGCCCAAATACGTTGTACCAAGATGAAGCTAGTAAATGTGAGCACTGTATGGAAGCAAGAAAAGTAATTTGTAATTCGTTTTGCGGGGGCCTTGCTGTTTAAGTGACATGCTTTGATGATACTTTTGGGGTTTTTTCTTTTCTTTTTTTTCTTGTTTTTCATATTTTGGTCACGCCATGTGGCTTGCGGGATCTCAGTTCCTTGACCAGGGATCGAACCTGGGTCATGGCAGTGACAGCACCAAATCGTAACCACTGGGCCATCAGGGAACTTGATGATACTTGTGAACTTGGAGGGTGGCACAGTCCTCTGCACAGTGCCCTTGCAGTTGTCATGAGGCTACTGGATATGAACAGCATTTTGTATCTTACAGCAATTTCTTGTTGGAAAGATTCTTTATGGTCTTAGATATCGTAATTATTTAGATTCCCATGGACAGATTATGAAAGGGGAGGGGGGTGAAATTAATTAATATTTCTCAGTTGGCCAGGCAGTGGTCTTGATGCTTACATGTATATTCTCATTCAGTACTTAAACTAGCTTTACAGACAAGGCTCACAAAGGTGAATTCAGACAGTTTGTTTTTAGAGGTAGAGGCAGGATAGGGATCCCTTTCTGCTTCCTTTTCTTTTCCCAGGCTGAGAAGGGTTAGATTACCTTGTTCCTTCAACTGTGAAATTACCTAGTGGTTTCTACAGCCCCGTAGTCTGTGTCTTCTGTGATCCTACAGTGTTTATAAGTGCGTGTGTGTGTGTGTGTGTGTGTTTTAAAACCCTGTTCCCCTGCAGCTGGAACTGGAGAAGGCAGCCTCTGCTCCATCTTCTCACCTTCATTTGTGCAGTGGGAAGCCATGACCTTTTTTTTGGAAAGTGTGATCAACCAGATGTTTCGAACATTAGATAAAGAAGTAAGTAATTGTTTCTTGTGCTGATTGCATAATAATTTTGATCTTTTTAAAATTATTATTTATTTGGTTGCGCCAGGTCTTAGTTGCAGCAGGCAGGCTCCTTAGTTGCGGCTCGCTGGTTTCTTAGTTGTGGCATGCAAACTCTTGGTAGCAGCATGCATCTGGGATCTAGTTCCCTGAACAGGGATCGAACCTGGGCCCCCTGCATTCGGAGCGCAGAGTCTTAACCACTCTGCCACCAGGGAATTCCCCAATTTTGATCTTCGTAAAATTGGCAGTGCGATAGGAAAATATGTGAGTGTGCATCTTACAGAAGAGGAAACTGAGATTCAGAGAGGGTAAATAACATGCTCAAGGTCAAGTAGCTAATAAATAGAGCTGGGACCCAAATTAGGTCTCTCTGACTTTAAGCCCCGCGGTGTTTAGTATTCGTTTTAGGGGATAATAAGATGAGCCTGATAGTACAGTGAACCACAGGTAGGGTAACTATTATAGGGAGGACAGTGATGGAAGCCTTGAATTGGAAAATCTAAGAGATATCTGCCAATTTATGGCAAATTGACCAGAATATTCATGATGGCTGATCTGTGTCCCTCTTTCCTGAATAATCTGATTAAACCAGATAACAGCATATACTATATTAACTATGTTAATTAGATTAAAAATAATTGGATCACTTATTTTGGGGTAATTCGTCTTAACTCATTCTAGGTTCGTTGTAGAAAGAATCTAAGTCCCTTGAAGATAAGTGAAATACAGTGCTTTTTCTCATAAATGGCATATTAACAAATTAGATCTTGGGATCATTAACTTCATCTGTTTTTATATTCACTTCAGTTTGAAATGATGGCATTCTGAGTTTGTTCACTTTCTAGTAGTAGGTAATGCTACATCCCTAATAATGGCAGCATCATTTGTGAAAAATTTTAATAACATGGGGTAATGCTTAGAATTTTAAGGGTTAAGAAGCACTATATAAAACCATATGTGACAACCATATTTATATAGAGTGTGAAGGAAATTTAGCAAAAGTGGTTTTCAATTATGTCAACCTCCTTTTCGTGTCTGTATTACAGGAAATTCCTATTAATGATGGAGTAGAGCTATTGCAGATGGTCCTGAACTTTGACCAAGGATCCCCCCTCATCCTGTCCTGTGTCCTCACTAATGTCTCAGCACTCTTT